GGCACAATGAGCGGCACAAGGGCTTTTAGATTGCCCGGGACATGACACAGCTGTGTCCCATTCCACACAGCACCGACACTGCATCGGAAGCAAATCCACACCGAGTGCGGTTGGCAGCACACGGGCAGCAGATTCCCGAGCCYCTCTCCGTGCCCACAAGGCAAAGCACCTTGTTTGTCCCCTGCAGCACAACTGAGAGCGCGTGTGTCACGGCTGGGGCAGAGGGGACAGGGGGCTGCCAGCCGTGCTGAGACCCCACCCATGTTGTTTATCCTGAGTTGAACTGAGCATCCAAGCGGGAGCGAACCCGTCCCTGTTGGTCCTGAAATCAGCACCAGCGGAGCGTGAGCTTTGGAGGGTCAGTAAAGGGAGGGCTCAGGAGACAGGGGCGGCATTTCAGCGCCTCTTCCCTGGACACATCTGTATGGGGCGGGGGCCGGCAGCGCTCAGCTTCCCTTGGGCTCCTGCTGACCTTGGGAAGCTGTTGCTCGGGGCTTTTCCCCGACCGCTGGCGAGCGGAGCGGCAGCGCCCCCTGTTGTCCCCTGTTGTCCCCTGTTGTCCCCTGTTGTCCCCTGTTGTCCCCTGTTGTCTCCTGCTGTCCCCGCCCACGGCGGTTCGTGCTCGGCCGCAGCCGCGGCTCCTGTGCCCGTGTCACCCAGCGCGCAGTAATACACGGCCGCGTCCCCGCGCCGGGGCCGAGCGAGGTACAGAGCGCTGGATTTGCGATCTTCCGACACCCACAGATGGCCCTCACTGTCCGGCAGCCCTCTGAGTCCTTTGTGAGCGCTCATGAGGAATTCGTGGCCCTGGCCCGGGAGCAGTCGGTACCAGTGGATGTAGTCATTAGTTTGGATATTTCGGTGTGAGCAGCTGATGTTGATGCCGGTGCCCTCGGTGGTCTCCAGCCGCGGCTGTTGCTCTATCTGGGCTCGGGCCACAGCCACTGTAGGAGAGAAAATAAGAATCACTTTTCTTYCACAGAAAGTGCCGAGGAGGGAGAGAAGGGAGAGGAGGGCTCATGAGAGTTGATGCGGATATGTTCTGAGAATAAATCAGGCAGATATTATGGCTATGAGAGTGATTTGTTGGGGACAAGAATCTATGAGGGATGTTTCGCTGGACGATCAAAATTATTACGAGGAAAAAAGGAATGAGGAAAATTGACTGGCTGAGAGGAATGGGGGCATGGAAGGATGGAAGAAAATTTGGATTAATAAGGGAAATTGGGAGAGGATGTTTTTACTGATGGAGAAATATATGACGACAGATGAAGGGACAGAGAGTAAATCTGAACCGGGAAGGAGCAGGAATGTAACAGATGAATCTTGCTTCCCAGATCCAGTGTTACATAGCCCCCGACCCGGCTGCCCCGCCGCTGTCACCCCCGCGCACCGAGCAGCACCGCGGCCAGCGCCGCCAGCCCCGCGCCCCGACCCCGCCGCATCCCGCCGCTCCGCCGCCCGAGCATCGCTGTCCCCGCCAGCCCCGGCTCTCTGCTCCGGCCGTGCCGCCTCCTCTCCCACTCCTCCACTCCTATGGGCTCTCCTCTCCGCCCCCGCCAGCTCCACCCCGGGGCTGAGCCCTGCGCCCGCGATGCTCAGGATCTCGCCGAGTCCCAGCAGGGAACGGAGGGGAGGCGATCGCGGTGGGGGTGGGTCRGGTCTCTGCACAGCGGAGGCCGCGGGGCCGGGGTGGGTAACGGGGAAATCAAGATTGGCAGGTCCTGCGCTCCCATATTCTGTTCTCCCACAACACCGCTTTGTTCTCACGTGGGGACTCCTGAATTGTCCTTCAGGGCACGTGTTTGTGAGAACGGAGAAGGGGCACGAGAGGCAGAGGAGCCCGCGGGGCTCAGCAGTTCCTGTGGGGACACAGCCCGGTTGGGGTTTTGCCAGGGACTCTGGCACCAGACCGCCCTTGAGGCAGTGCAGGGGAGAAGTGCCTTCCCCAGAGGAARCACGGACATGGCACGRCCTCTCCCAGCTGCTTTGGAGTGAAGGAGATGCAGCCCGGATTCACAGAGAGCAGGGGTAACACAGGTGGAAGGTCAGCAATGAGAAGGCAGTGTGCTCACAGGACAGAGATGGA